TTTATTGTTCAGGTGAACACCCAGGTACTTATAAGAGTCCACTTTCAGTACAGAGTTTGACATTTGCAGGCTGTTAGCAAATTCATCTGCTGAAGGGGGGAAGTTTCACTGTGTTTACCTTTAAGTTTAAGAGTTGGAGACATGTACATATGAGCAGGATCTTGTAAAAGAACAACTAGTTTGGAAGGCTGCCCACATAATGGTTTATAAATGGTTAAATAGTTCTGTGTGTGTTTTTATTACAGAGGCGTTGTAGTTATAGGCATTTTCATCAAAACCAAAAGGAACTTTTACTGCAGACATTTATTTTTCTAAACTATTAAAATGATGCAGGGGTTTTAAGCTGTTTTTTTTAAATGTTACAGTACAGAGTGTGACACTGGAAGGCTGTAAGCAAATTCATCTGCTGAAGTGGGGAGGTTTCACTGTGTTTACTGTCAATTGTGTTTACCTTAACATTTAAGAGTTTAAGACATGTACATATGAGCAGGATCTTGGAACAGCACAACTAGTTTAGAAGGCAAATATGGTCCAGTATGCAACTTACAGAAGTGGGATGTGGGAACCAAAAATACCTCCAGTGCACATACACTGAGAATGAACTTTACTTTACTTTTGGAGACTGTATAATAATTAAAGCTACACAGAACCAAAAGTAAAGAGTAATAATAATAATGTGTGTCTGATATGGTTTTTCCCACAAAAAAAGTTCAGCTACCTTGTAAAAAAAATCTTAAAACATCTCCCAGTGGAGAAAACATGATGCAGTGCACCAATGGACACCCTTCCAGTGGAGAAAACGGGATGATGTACCTTACAACCTAGAAAATGAGCTGCCTCTGCATCCTTCTAAATGGTTAAATAGTTCCCTGTGTATTTTTATTACAGATATAGCAGACCCTACTTTAAACCTGAGTCATTTTCACAAAACCCAAAATGACCCACTGATACTGAAATATATATTTTTCTCAACTCATGAAATGTTTGGTAATAGGCTATTATTTAAATAACTGATCATCTGGATGTGATTCATAGCGGTTTATCCATTGGTTTTGAGACATATTAAAAGTAAAGCCCGTGACGCTGAGACATCCACTGATATGAAGCTGTTCATGTCAGCCTCAGATGGAGCTTTTAAAACCGAGGTCGTGTGCGTTTTTCCATGCATGTGAACACAGTGACATGACTGAACGAGCTCCTGGCTCCACCCTCCGTTAGTCAGCCAGTCTACTACGTGTTAAGACTGGTGCCTTCAACTTACAAGCATCTCGGGGAGAGGAGGAGGAGGGAAAAAAAAGAAAAAGAAAAGGACTTTCCCCCCTCCCTCGGCTCTTATCTGGAGGAATAAAGCAGCCACACGCAAGTTAGTCAACTTTTAACTGCAACCGGCATCCGCACTTGGAGCGCAAACATCCCATAAAGGCTGGTTTTCCTCTGCGTTCTCCGACTTGGATTGGGTTCTTCATGGAAACAAATGATATTTGAACCCGCAGAGAGGAGCGGAGAGAGAGGAGGTGGGTGTCGGGTACAAGCCTGTGTGTTTCTGTTCTTGTTCTTTTATGCAACCGAGCTCGGACACAAGTCTATTTGATCTTAACATAAAGTGGGGGGAAAAAAATAACACAGCCCAGTTGCTGCTGCTCTCAGTCTCATTCAGGTTTTCAGAGAGCTCTTAAAAAGGTTTAATCCGGGAAGGAAAAAAAAGTTCCCGAAGGCAACTTTGCAGTGAAAGACAGGACACAGCCAGAGAAAGAGACTATAATTCATATAAGTGTTAGGATTATGGCGTTAAAGGCCAGAGTGCTGTATGACTTCCACTCTGAGAACCCTGGGGAGATCTCCATAACAGAGAATGAGCTGGTGACTCTGTTCAACGAGGAGGAGCTGGAGGGCTGGCTGGAGGGGGAGAACAGCAGGGGGGAGGCTGGCCTCTTCCCTGCCTCCTATGTGGAGATCATCAGGGACCACATCACCTCCAACACCAACAACAACGGCTTCTCCTCGCCCAAAACCAAAGCCCAGTCGCCCACCCACGCCCCCTACACGTCCTCGGACACCCAGTCTCAGAGAGGTCTCGGGGCCGGTAGCGGTGGCAGTGGCGGAGGCAGCTTCCACACCAGCCAGGGGAGTGATGACGACTGGGACGATGACTGGGATGACGCCTCCCCTGCGACCGACGTGCCTCAGGGTCTCGGCAGCACGCCCCCCTTGTACCCGGTGACCTCCTCCTTGCCCGGGCGGCGTGAGAGCACCCAGCAGCATCAGCAGCAGGCCAAGAGCTCAGCGACGGTGGGGAGGAACCTCAACAGGTTCTCGACCTTCGTCAAGTCCGGAGGGGAGGCCTTCCTGCTCGGGGAGGCCTCTGCTTTCGTGAAGGACGGGGACAGGATCTGCGTGGTGATGGGGAAGCATGGGCCGGAGTGGCAGGATGACCCGTATCCATTCACGTGCACCATCGACGACCCCACCAAGCAGACCAAGTTCAAGGGCATGAAGAGCTACATGTCCTACGGCCTGACCCCGACACACACCAACGTACAAGTCAACCGCAGGTACAGGCTGCCTTCCTCCTCCTCTTCCCTCTCTGGGGTCTCCAAACTGGGCTTATTTCTTTTCCCATACACTTAAAATAAATGTTTCTGTGGCTTTTCCTGTGGCCACAATTGTTCCCACAAAATGGCAAAAACAGAGCGGACTGTGGCCCTTTGCCCTCTGGGGTCCTCAGGAATCTCCCCCTTTCCTTTCTGAGATTCCCTCTGCACCTTTTGCATTGTCTCCCTGTCAGTAGGTCTGTCATTTCAAACTAACACTTACTCCCTTACATTCCAGTTTCCGCTTGGTCCTGCTTCAGCTCACACTAGCCCTCCCCCTCGGTTTTCACTCCTTCTCACTACATTTTCCTGCTTTCCCTAATCTCCCCCCATTCCCATTTACCGAACCTTCTCCCTCCCAACCTCCTCTTCCATCATTCCCCGCAGGTACAAACACTTCGACTGGCTGTACGCTCGCCTCGTGGAGCGTTTCCCGGTCATCTCAGTGCCCCATCTGCCAGAGAAGCAGGCCACCGGACGCTTCGAGGAGGACTTCATCTCCAAGCGGAGGAAGGGACTGATCTGGTGGATGAACCACATGACTAGTCACCCCGTGCTGGCACGCTGCGATGTTTTTCAGCATTTCCTGACATGCGGGGCAGATGAGAAGGCGTGGAAACAGGGCAAGAGGAAGGCAGAGAGGGATGAGCTTGTCGGGGCCAATTTCTTCCTCACAATCAGGTGGGAGCCCGGGTTATGTAATGCAGAGGTTGTGGGTTTGATTACTGGATTAGAATTGAATGGATGTGTGCAACTTGTTTGTTCTACCTGGCTCACACAGCCCATAATGTAAAAAGTAAAACACGGAAATGGTTGTGTAACATAGATTACTGATATTTCCTGCAGCTCCAGTGGAGTTGCAGAAATGTTTCATTGATCTGAAACACCAGGTTTGACGTCAGGCCCTTGCAGTTCAAGAACTTTTCTTTCTAGAGTCACCATTTTCCAACAGCTTTCAATAGTCATGGGAGAAACCATAGACTGTATAATCAAAAATGGACGTAGTTTCTGTGACATCACTCATAGGTTTCTAAAGAGCTGTTGTGAAGCCTAATGTGGTCGGCTCTGGCTATCGGCATCTTAACAGTCATGATTCCTTTGGCTCCCGACTAATCCAAAAATGGGCAAAGACATGGAGCGTGGGTGGAGCTGAGGTGGGCTGAATGAAGCCTGGTTACTGAACACAGCAGCCACTGACAGCACCCACCTCACTCAAACTGGCCATGCCCCTAATTATGCATAACAGTAGGTCTTAATATAATTTAAAGGTGAGATATATAAAAATTCACCTCTTGTACAGCTGTCATAAACAGGAAATTTAGCTATAGAGACCTGAGAAAACTGTTTTTTGTACCAAGGTGTAAACATGTTTATTTTTGCTGTAAAGTTGGGCATTTTAACACGAGGCCTTATGGGAGTGACTCATATCTGTGGCCGTTTGAGGAACTGCAGTTTTTCTTCCATGTCGCTTTATTTGCCAGCCATGGAGGTTGCCGCTTGGGAGAAACCGTAGAGACGCGTAAAGACCAACATCTCCACAAATAGGAGCAGGAAATCAGTTTTCCCATTCTCTGGAGATTGCAAAAGGCATTCTGGGAAATGTAGGAAATCTGTATCTGAAGTAGAAGTACAAGACGTGGCAGGTTGGGGTAAAGAATGTACACCAAAACCATAATTAACAGCACTTTACACAATGTTGCAAACTTCAAATTAAAGATGTACAGGGGATGGATAAACAGTAACACTTAGCACTGTAATTTATTCCTATTCATTACTACCCCGTGAAGCTAGAATATTATATTTACGTTAATAGTATGTCTATTTAAGAGGTATAAATCAAGTGTATCAAATGTTCCTCTCCGCCCACTTTATAGTGGTATAAAGTAACAGGAGGATATTAGCCCCGTTATCAGTTTTCCTTGTTTTATGAGCTGTAACTGAAAGCTTTCATCACAGGGAGAGCCTGATAGTGAGGATGAGATAAGTAGAACAGAGGACTTATCTGCTCTCCCATGTTTGTGTAATAAAGATGATGTAATGCTCAAATAAAATATAAATCATAAAGGATTTTCAGAATAAAGCCACATGCCACACGTCTTAAATAACCGTCTTTTTCTTTCTATTCTTTAGCACGCCTTCTGTCCCGCTGGACCTCCAGGAAGTGGAGAGCAAGATCGAAGGTTTCAAGACCTTCACCAAGAGGATGGACGAGAACAGCGTGGTCGTGAACACCACCATCAACGAGTTCGCTCGCAAACAGGCGGCGGGGTTTAAGAAGGAGTACCAGAAAGTCGGACAGTCGTTCAAACTCTTGGCGCAGGCGTTCGAGCTGGACCAGCAGGCCTATTCGGTGGGCCTGAACAAGGCCATCGCTGACACTGGCGAGGCCTATGAGGCGATAGGAGAGTATTTTGCTGAGCAGCCTCGCCAGGACCTGGATCCCATTTCTGACCTGCTGGACCTCTACAGAGGACACCTGGCCAATTTCCCTGACATCATCCATGTGCAGAAAGGTGGGAATGTGTGTGTGTGTGTATGTGTGTGTGTGTGTGTGTGTTCATGTCTGAAGTAGTGTTATCTTTAGCGCACCAAGGCATTGTGCAGGGCTGTGTCGATCAGTGAGAGAAGTACTGATAAAAAAAGAGTTTAGACATTTCAACATGCTTGCAAAAAATAAAACAGATGCAGGACCTAGCATACTTCTCTTCACAGGGAGGTCAGAGGTCAAAGGTTAGCTTGCAGTGTCGTCGTTAGGGAGTGAGCGGTCGGGACTTGAATGCTTCTGTAGGGCGGAGAGTTGAATCCAGGGAGGATTCCTAACAACACAAGGCCTCTCGCTCTCAGTTTCCATGCTGCAGGCTGTATAATCTCTTCTGTAACAAACAATTCATTTTTTCTCACATTAGAAAATAATTCAGTTTTTTTTCCAAAGCCCATCCAGCCCGCAGCCTCGCTATCTATTAATCATGTCAATATAAAGGCAGACAATGCAGAGACCTAGATTCTGACTGTTTCAACATCTGTTTTCATTTACTGAATTGCTGTGTCAATTTGGGTTGAAAACTGAAACCCATGGCCGGTCTATTGTAACGCTCCGGGTACTGTGAGAGCCTGTGCTCGCTCACTGGAAAACACAAACACGGAAAAACACACACGCACTCGCACACAGACGTGTACAAAGGGCCTGCAGAGGAGTTAGCTTGTTAGTTCCCTGCAGGTTGGGAGGAGGGAGTTGCTCCTGGCACACAAAGTCCTGACGTTGGCCAAAAACTAGAGGCACTGTTTCTATAGTCCACTAAGCTCTGTTCTCTAGATACAATCACAGCTCTGAACTATGGAAGCACGGTCTGAATCCCAATAGTCCCTGAGACTGACGGGGGTTTCACCTACTTTCTGATTGACAAATAGCACATTGTTTAATGTCCCTGAAAGAGCCTCTAACTAATAAAAACTCTCAACATTTCCCTCACTTCTGCCGCACTGGAAGATACTGTTCTTGTTAGTAAGGTTTTTAGTAATAAGCTTGAATTTTAATTGATTTCTCAACTTGCATAACGTGTGAAAAAATGAATATCAGTATGTGTCTCTGTGGAGCATGATCTAATGGGAGATTTGTATTAAATGGTACAAAAAGTAGTGAATCATTAGGATCTCTAAACGTAAGCAAAACCAAACAGATTTCCAAAGGACTTCATAGTAATGTCACAGGATATGATATCATCATTTCTGCTTTCACATGATCTCACAAATAGCACTGTCATCATTCCTGGGTACCAGCATGGTTTTCACTTCTGGAATCCATGCTTTAGGACAAAACAAATGAGATGTGTGGTAGGAAGTTGAACCGCAGTGCTTCTCTCTTCTGTTTTTTTGTTCTAAAGTACTACACTGTATCTCAACTCAGAAAAGAAATTTGAATTCTTGGACACACGTCAAACTCCCAATCATTTGGGCAATGCATTCTTTTGGCCTGTGGCCTAATCTTCCACCAAATCTCATTGAAATCTGTCAACATTTCCAGCTGCTTGCCAGTTGATAAACAGTTGTATGAATTATACAAAGGGAGTCACTGACTCAAGAATTCAAGTCAATACCCAGCATGGGGGAGATCATGTAATCAGTCCCGGCTGGGAGAAAAAAGCACAGACTCTGAGTAATCCATCGCTGCTGTCATAGGAAGCGTTGTTATTGTATGCTGAGTAAGACCTATGAACGCATCCCCACAATGAAAGTCTGCACTGCTGAAATAAGTACCTTTAACAAAAGATGGTTGGTTGAGTCACAGTTTCCATAACAGTCAGTTTGCTGAAGGACCCTCATTAAGAGAAAGCTGATGACAAATGTTTGCACTGGTACAAATATATAAGAATTCTGGTTTTCTTGAAGCATTTTAATGTTTTTTCGAACTAAATAAACCATTGGATGACATTCTTTTGACTCTGCACACAATGAGAACTTGACTGTAGGGGTTTAACATTTTCAAAAAGTTTCATTCCTCTCTCCGCAGGTCTACATTCCACAAATATCTGCCGTATCTGTCTCATATAGCGCTGAACGTTTTCCCAATAATGACCAAATTTACAAAGACATGGCAACATTGTAGCACAGATTAACTAGAAAAAAAAAACAGCTGCTGGGCTCTTCTGGACGGCTTTGTTAACCTAAATGTCCCCTCGCAGTATCGGCCGACTTTGCTGGTTCTGTCTGTGAGGTCCAAAGGCTACATCTGATTTGAATGAGCAGAGATTCCTAGGCCTCTTGTCCTGTGTTGCCCTGGGACTGCAGGAATGCAAAATGGAGCGGACTCAGGATTAGTTCCCCCTCCTCCTCCTCCTCCTCCTCCTACTCCTCTTTTCTCCCTCTTTTCCTCCTTCCTCCTGGTGATACAGCGAGTGGAAGAGAAGGAGGCAGAAGAGGAAGGGGGGGGGGCTGCGTATGTGTGCGTGTGTGTGAGGGAGGTGCAGGTAGTTACGGATCTGAACGCGTTTCCCACCAGCCAACAGTACAAGAGTTCAGATTACGGCTCTGTAATCGCCTTGGCAGCCAGCAGAACAAAGTCCAAGTTCATTTCAGTTTGTTAGCGTTCTTGTGCAGGTATGGTATGTGTTTTTCGATGTGCGTGAGAAAAAGGAAGAGAAAGCTCTAGAAAGAGAAACCATAGGTCAATGAGGTGAGGAAGGAGAAGAGTGGTTGCTACCAGCTAGATCATCATGTTCTCCATATGCTGCCATGTCGCAGCCTTACTCTGAGTTCCTCTTCATGGTTTTTTTTTTTTATGGGTTTTGTCTCTCCAAACTTCCCCCCCGAAACTTTAGTCACATTAAACTAGACACTGACTCACGACTGGGCGTTGGTTAAATGCAAGGAAACAAGGGGAAAAAGTATGCAATAACCAGCTCATTTCTGCAGTATGAAAAAAATGTCTTGGTTAGCTTGGAGAATTCGCCTGCCTTCCTCCCTTGCAGTCACTGTAGGTTGTCCTAGCGTTACCTCGGCTAGGATTTATTAATGTCATTGCAACTGTTTCTTCGAGATCCACCCATGCTTTCTGCATGTAATCTTTTCAACTTCTTGGCTGTACGTCCCTTCAGTCTACCCTGTCCATTCTTGTAGCTCGCCACTTTTTTTGGGTTTGTGGTTAAAGAAACTCATAAAAGAAATACTTTGAGTTCA